ATGCCACAAAATTATCTTTCAACATCAATGGAGAAATAAGATGTTTCCATGATAAAGAATACCTGTTCTGAAGGACAATGGAGAAATAGACAATAAAGAGAACAAATCCAAGGCTCCCAATAGATTGATTTTATGGGCAAAACAAACAATTAAATAGAAAAGGAACCAACAACAAGAAAATATTATGTTGGCATGAACAAGTTAATATCTATTAGCTGTAATCATTAATGTGAATGGTCTCAATTGAACAATCAAAAAAATGATAGGCAGAATGGATCAAGAAACAAGACCCAACAATTTGCTGCACGCAAGAAACACATTTAACTCAAAAAGCAATTTATAAACTAAAAGTAAAAGGGCAGAAAACAATATATTCCATGCAGTAGAAACCTGGACAAAAGTAGGGATAGTTACTCTATTTGAAGACAAAATGGATTTCAAGCCAAGACTACTGTATGGTTTGTGTCTAGGTGTCGCCTCAAAGCCTGATGCAGTCTTGGGGCAGCTTCTGGAGTTTGTGATTGATTACTGTGGGTGTGGATGCTGCATATGCCCTGGGGCAGGTAATTTGCATTACAATGTGAGTGGGAAGAGAAGCTAGCAGCTTGAGCTGCTGCTACTCCTCTCCCTTGCGCTCTTGCTCTTTGCTGGCATCATGAACAGTTGCCCTCTGCCATGTGCCACTCTGCCTTGGAGCCAGCTGAGTACGGACTGAAACCTCCAGTAACTGTGAGCTAAATAAACCTTTCCTTCCTTCATTTTGAGTGTCGGGTATTTGTCCCAGCAAAGAGAGAAGAATAGCTAAGACAACTACTCAGAAGAAACAAAGAAAGTCACTACACCCAGAGGGAGAGACAACAATTATAAGTGTATATCTATCAAATACTGGCACACCCAACTACATAAAACAAACACTAATGAACATTAAAAAAAATCATTAATATAACTGTAATAGGGAAACTCAATAACCCACTGTCACAAATAGGTAGATCAACTAGACAAAAATTAAAAAGAAATATTAGGGCTGGGGAGTTAGCTCAGTGGTCTAAGCTCCTGTTTGGCAAGTGCAAGGACCCAGGTTTGATCCCCAGGACCACATTTCATGCTGGTCCCAACCTGAGCCCTCTGAGCCAGTCACTGAAACCAGGAATGGTGGTGTATGGCTGTAATCCTAGAGAACTACAAGCTAATCTCCTCAATGAACATGGATGCAAAAATCTTCAGGAAGATACTGGCAGCCAGAATGCATCAAATTACCAAAAAGATCGTATACCATGACTAAGTAGGATTCATCTGAAGGATGCAGGCATGGTATAACATACACAAACAGAACCGAGGACAAAAACATACAATCATCTCAGTAGATGCAGAAAAAAACATTGGATCAAGTCCAATATAAATTCACAATTTTTAAATACCTTTCAGAAAATTGGAATAGGAAGAATTTATCCCAAGTCAATAAAAGCCACTTATAACGAACCAATAGCCAACATCATACTAAATGGTCAAAACCTGGAAGCTTTCACTCTAAAGTCAGAACAACAGAAGGATGCCCACTCTCACCACTCTTGTTCAGTATAGTTCTGGGAACATTAGCCAGAACAATTAGAGAAGAAAAAGAAATAAAAGGAATATAGATAGGACAGAAAGAGGTTAAATTATCATTATTTGCCAATAACATGACACTTTACAGAGAATATCACAAAAACTCCACCAAAAGACTCATAGAATTAATAATCAAGTTCAGTAGCATAGCAGGATATAAAATTAACACTCAAAAACTCAAGAGCATTCCTGTACATAAATAACAAACTCACTGAGAAAGAAAGGAGGGAAGCAAAACTTCATGATAGCATCAAGTAAAGTGGTTAGGAATCAATCTAATGAAGGAAGTGAATGACTTTTACATTGAAAACTATAATAATCTGAAAAAGAAGATTAAAGAGGATATCATAAAATGGAAAAACATTCCCTATTCTTAGCTAGGCAAAATCAATGTAGTCAAAATGGCCACACTTCCAAAATTGATACAGATTTAATGCAGTGATACTCAACATACCAGTAGCACACCTCGCAGAACGAGAGGAAACAATCCTCATGTTCATATGGAACAGAAGTGACCTAGAATACCAAAAGCAATTCTGAGCAACAAGGGCAAGGCAAAGGGTATCACAATCACCAATTTGAAGCTACCATGATAACAATAGCATGGTACTGGCCAAACAAAAGGAGAAACAAACAGAAACCAACACAGACCTAAAGATCAATGAAACAGAACAGAAAACACGGAAACAACTCAAGCACACTCATCCACCATATCTTTGACAAAGGGACAAACACCTTCACTGGAAGGAAGATATCCTTTACAATAAATGGTGCTGGAGAAGATGGCTTTTCATATGCCAAAAACTGAACCTAAATCTATATCTCTTTTCATGCACTAAAATGGATCAAAGATTTAAATATAAAAACAGAAATAATCCACTAGAAGACAGAATAGGTAAAATTCTTGAAGACATGAGTGTTGGCAAAGACTTTATGACCAAAACCCTGATCTCACAAGAAATAATATAAAGAATCAATAACTGAGATTACATCAAATTAAAAAGCTTTTGCACAACAAAAATTATCAGGAAAGTAAAGAGTCAATCCTCAGAGTGGGAAAAAAATTAGCCAATTGTTCCTCAAAGGACTAATATATAGAATATATAGCAAATATGAAAAAATAAAATTTAAAGACCCAGCCCCAGAACGGGTACCTTTGAGGCCAGGCACTGTGGTGCCTACCTGTAATCCAGGCACTCAGGAAGCTAAGGCAGGAGGATCTCCACAAGTTCAGGGCTAGCATAAGCTACATGCTGAGTTCAAGTCCAGCTGCAACTATATGGTGAGTCTTTGTCTTAAAAAACAAAACAAAATATATACTAATTTAAAAATTAAATTATGGTGTATCCTCATCCTTCTTGTTCCCTGGATCTGGTACCATGACTTGTAACTCTTCCTAAAAGTCAAAATGACCATGAAAATAAATATTTTCAATCAACTCAGAGCATCAAAACAGCCACAACTGCCCAACTAAGGACACAAAGAGGACTTCCAGAACTGCTTCAGAAAGAGGCAATAATGATGGGATAACCCCTTAACTGACTTCATGTCTGGCTCTATTCCTTCCCCCAGGGAGGACCAACTGAGCATTATCTGTGTCTTTTGCCTGGTAGGAAGGGACCCATTAACCTGTTGTGTCTCCTCCTACCCTTGGTGCCCAGTGCCCTTGCCTGTCCTTAATAAAGTATGGAAGAACTTGAGCTCTGGAGATTAACAGACTAGAGCTACAGATCATGTTGTTCCCTAGAGGGCCTGGCCTAGGAACAGAAAAACATTTTGTTGTGTCAGTATTTGATGTGTTTCTAAAATCTCCCTGCAGAAGCCTAGCAACACAGATAAAAGTTGGTGGGTAAGACATTTATTAATGTGTTACTTGAGAGAGAGAGGAGGCAGACTGAAGCTCTGGCAAGAACATAGATGGCCCAGGGATTTGCTGTGGGGTCTCCAGTCGGTAAGGTCACTTCCCTATGCATCTCCCAGTTCTCTCACCTGGAATCTCATGGGGCGCTGTGGATTTCGATAAAATCAAAGAGGAGACAACTCTGTTGCCCACTGTAGGTGCTGTGCTGTAAGAAACACTGATTACAGTTTGTCTCTGTACCAGCCTGGAGGCTTGTTGTGATGCTATAACTACCATCCTACAGATAAAGAAGCCGAGGTGCACAGAGGCATAAAACAGTCTCATTGGTCACAGAGCTGGGATTTAAACCTAGGTAGCCAGGTTCCAGAGCCTGAGCTCCCCACCGCACCTGCCACCTCCTGAAGCCTATGCAGACGCTGTCTGCTTCAACACCACCCCTCAAGTGTGTTGTCTCTATTTTGTGACTGAAGAAACTAAGGGCCAGCAAGATGACACGACCTCACCAAGGTCAAATATCTTATAAAGCAGAGCCAAATTTAGACTGCAGCCCATCCCACTGCAAGCCCAGGGCCTGCCTACCACCCCACAAGTGTGGCCCCCGGCCTGTGGAGGCCAGCAGGTGTCTGTCTCCAGCAGGTGTATCAATCGTCCAGAGACCCCGGGTGACAGGACCAGTCAGACTTCTCTGCTGGGGAGATAACTCAGTAGAATAAGTGCCTGCCTGGAAAGCATAAGGTCCTGAGTTCAATCCCTGGTACTGTAAAAAATAAGTAAAGAAAGAAAGAAGAAGAAAAACCAAACCAAAACAAACAAGCAAAAAAACAGACTTCTCTTCACAATTGTGGGTTTGTGTGTGTGTGTGTGTGTGTGTGTGTGTGTGTGTGTTTGTGGTACTGGGTGGGGATTGAACTCAGGACGTTAGGCTTGCCCAGGCAGGCGCTTATGCCCTTGAGCTATCTCCCCAGCACAATTGTGGGTTTTATATAGGGAAGGGTCCCAAATATTAAAAGGGTCATTGCTGGATGCCCACGCCTCTTCTCCAGCCTCCCGTGAGCACGCACATCCCGAGGGGCTCAGAACTCAGTATTCGTGACCAGTGTGACTCACCGTAGCCTGGGGTTTATGAGGGAGTGTAAGGGCATCTGCACTCCCTTTTTCACTCTCACAGGTTTCACAGGGACAGAGAAACCACTGACACACAGGACGCTCCTCTGGGCGCCTTCCCACCACTCCAGACCTAAGACAGCCCTACGGTCTTGGAACCTCTGGGACAAAGAGTGCCCATATGCAGTGCTGTCCCTCCCCAATCAATCTCAGTGTCACTAGGGCCCTATGGCATACGCAGATGTATAATGCGCCCCAAGAACGCCACACTCAAATCCAGCGAAAAGATGCCGTCACTCGCACTCCCTGGACGCAGACTCTGCACACCACTTCCTCCCTCATTCCGAGGGTGGGGACCACGCCCCCGCGCAGTCCTCACCTCACCCCGCTCAAGCTCCGCCCCCACGCAGCCCTCGCCCCGCCCCGCGCAGGCCCCGCCCCAAAGGCCTGGGAGACTCTTCCTTTGCCCTTCCGGCCAGCTCCAACAGTCTGTGCACGTTGCATGAGACTAGCGCGACTCATGAAGGTGTTCGTCACCCGCAGGATCCCCCCCGAGGGCAGGGCCGCGCTCGCCCAGGCCACAGAGTAAGAGCCACGCACCATTGCCCTCTCCGCGCACCGAGGCCCAGCCGCGCCAGGCCTACGCGATGTCTCCGGAGCAGTTGGGGAGCCCTCAGCACCCTGCCCCAGGCCACCCTGGCAGATGCCGGCCACCCACCCTCAGGCACCTTGCGCAGGGTGACTCAGAGACCTCCAGGCGGGCTTCGGGGTGTCTGGGACTGTATAGTGGGTTGGGGTCATCAGGGGCCAAAGAGATGGCCCAGAGCTAGGGTCTCTGTCAGACTTTGCTGCTGAGTCCGGTTATATCGGGCTTGGAGTTTGAGGAGGCTTAGAAAAAGTTGTGTAGGCTCCAGGCCTCATCGGGCTTCTGGCCATAACTCGGGGACCTGGCACTGGGCCTGTAGGAGGGAAGCTGGTCCTTGGTCACTGCCTTCAGAGAGGAGAGATTAACCATGAGGCAAGGTCCAGGCTGTTGATTCTTGTCCCTGGATGCTGGCCCGACAGGGCAGGTGAGGTCAGGGACTGCTCATAACACTAGCCAGGTCCCCTTTGTAGTTGGCCTGGCCTGTGGATGACTCTTCAGGTGGAACCCAGTGCACCAACCTTGTCAGGTATGTCACATGCATAAACTTAGTCCTTGCAACACTGGGAAGTTAGTGTTACAGTTCTCATCTCACTGACCCCAAAACATGCCAAAAGGGGTAAGTACCTCACCCAGTGTCACACAGCCCCAGGTGGTGGAGCTGGGGTTTGACCTCATCAGGTTCTAGTTGCAGCAGGACCTATATACTTTGTCAGGTTTACACATCTGGCATGGAGGTAAGACCCAGCCTCAGTAGCCAATTCCAAGAAAGTGAGTTTTGTCTTCCAGATTTGCTTAATGCAATGCCATCTTTTCTGCAGGGAGGAAGGGGAAGACAGAGTAACACTGAGGGCATGTAGATGTGTCTCCAGCTACTTGGTGGGTGCGCTACTCACACCTGGCGTGTAAGTAGTGAGGAGCTACAGCAGGATATCCTGAGAGGTGCAGCATGTGACAATTTTTTGTATTTTGTACTTTTTTGGCATTGCACCCAGGGTCTTGCCAGTGCTCTACGCCTGAGCAACATCCCTGTCCCTCACTGTGCTGAGATAAATGGGGAAGGCTGGAGGAGTGTCTCACTTCCAGGGCTGCTGTGGAAGCATGCATTAGTGCTCCTCCTGTTGCTTGAGCTTGAGATTATCTTTCCTGGCAGAGCTCATGATGAGAGTTTTCTATTTCATGGACTCGTAGGGCCAAAAGAGATGCAACTGGTTGTTTAAGCCAAGCCCCTTCTGACACAGGAACCCCTCTGGCCTTTCTTGCAGATGACCACCTACCTGGCCATGTGGAGACACCCTGTGCATGTAAGGAAGCTCTTAGTGTTGAGCTGAGAGCTGTTCCTGGTTTTCTTCTTTTCTGCTTAGGCTCTGCTCTGGGGCCCCTCAGCCTTTGTTAGCTTCCTCTGCTCTGTGATAGGCCTTCATCCCCCAGCCATTCTCTCTGGACCATAGAGGCCACCCACATCAGGTGCTGACTGGACCCAGTTACAGGCCAGAGAGCAAAAGTGATGCTTGCCAGCTCTCAGAGGGGCCAGGGCATCTGTGGGGCTTTCCTGCATCTCCTAGGTGGCCTTCTTTCCTTTCAGCTGTGAAGTGGAACTGTGGGATTCTGATGAGTGCATCCCCAACAAGGAGCTAGAACGCGGTGTGGTGGGGGCCCATGGCCTGCTCTGCCTCCTCTCAGACCGTGTGGACAAGAAGATCCTGGATGCTGCAGGTATTTGTATTGGGTCAGCGTGGGCATGATTCTTGGTGTCTCAGCCTTGTGGGGCACTGGCTTGTGGATTGTCCTCCACCTCTCTCTGCTGTGAGTCCATGAGGGAAGCTCCAGGAGGGAAGGACCCTGGTGTGGACCCAGTGGGGTGGGTGTGGGGGAGTGTGGCCAATGCCCTGGGGCCACAGTTTTGCTTTATGACTTAAAGCAAGATGTGCCTTTTCCACAACTGTGTGTAGCAGGAGGGAGGCCCCAGCTCAGTGCCCCACACCAGCCAGCACCCAGTATCTGTCTACACAGCCCCAGTTCCTGCTTTTAGCCCTGGACAGGGGCAAACATCACCCCATGGCATTGTATCCTGACTGTTTGGAGAAATGGTTTAGATTCAGGGGCTGCTGACAGGAGAAAGAAGCTGTAAGTCAGTCAAGCCATCCCTGGAAGCTTTCTAGTGAAGGAGAGGCTATGAAAGGGTCATGCCCTGCTACTACCTCTATGATCTCAGAGGTATCCATGGATGGTCCCAAGAAGGAGACCCAGGCCTCACTGGTGGGCAGTCCAGTGGATAAGCCCAGTGTCCAAGTCCTGAAGGGGAATCCCGATTCTGACTTTGACTAGGCCAGGACACCGAATATCTCTGAGACACTGTGTCTGTAGATGGCAAAGAGGATGGTGTGGAGTGCTACCTGTAGAATAGAAATTTAAGAAAATAACAAGCAGGTGTTCCTAGGATAGTCCCCAGTGTTGTGACTTTGAATTCAATGAGGAAAGACACAAACAGTGTCTTTTCTGTACAACAGGACCTAATCTCAGAGTTATCAGCACACTGTCCGTGGGTGTCGACCATTTGGCTTTGGATGAAGTTAAGAAGCGGTAAATACAGCTGAGCTCTGGGAGGGCCCAGCATGAGGGGCGGTGTTCAGATGGTGCAGAAGAGAGCTGCTTGTTTTCACTTTGTATCCCTGAAGTGGCTGGGGAAAATTCATGTGAATGTGAAGTGGCTGGGGAAAATTCATGCATATGTGCACAAATCAGTTAAAACAAACCTGGATTGGACATGGCGCCTGCCTACAGCATTATCCCAGCTACTCAGGAGGCTGAGGCAAGAAGAGTATAAGTTAAGATCAGCCTGGGCAACTTATGTTTCAAAATAAAAAATAAGAAGGGTGTGGTTCCATGTGCTTGTAACATGATTTAATATCATGTATTACATGATATCACACAAACCCAAGAAATTGGAGAGAGTGAGCTACCTCTATCTAGTATTATTCTTTTACATTCCTTATCTTTTTTGATCCCCACCATAGCCCTGGAAGAAGACAGAAGCATTATTTCCTTTTCTAATGAGGAAATTCAGAATAATTTAACTAGTGACTTGCCCCAAACCTGAGCTCTTCTATCATCATAGCCTTCCCAAAGTGAGAGATGATCCAATGTACATGAGGACTAACCACTCATTTAAAGCTCTGAGCTTCCTGGCAGGCAAAACAATGGAGTGAAGTGATATCATGGAAAAGACATACCAGTAGACATTGCTGAAGGTGCATGAGGCCATGTTACCACCAGATGTTTGATTTCTAGTGGGATCCGAGTGGGCTACACCCCAGATGTCCTGACAGATGCCACTGCGGAGCTGGCTGTCTCCTTGCTGCTGACCACCTGCCGCAGGTTGCCAGAGGCAATAGAGGAAGTGAAGATGTGAGTGCCACGTGGTGGGAAAGGGGTTCTGCTCAGCAGCCAGGACCTAAACTGGAGATCAGCCTGGCCCAGGCTTGTGCCATATCCCCAGGTGGGCCCCATCTCATGAGGGGAGAATCGACTCAGCTAAAATTAATAAAACTCAGGGCTGGGGCCAGTGGGATAGCTCAGCAGACTAAGCGCCTGCTTTGGCAAGCACAGGAACCAGGGCTCAATCTCTGGTCCTGTATGCTGTACTGTACCTGCCCCCAGGGTGCTCTGAGCTGGCAATAGAGTCCGGGTGTGGTGGCACATTCCTGTAATTCCAGTGCTGGAGAGGCTGAAAACAGAAGGACCACTATGAGACTGAGCTGCATATTGAGACCCTGCACCAAATACATTAAACAAAACAAAAAACCGCAGGGCTGAGCTTCAGTAAACAGAGCATGATGGGGAGTCATGAGAGGTGGCTCTAGGAATGGGACAAATTCTGATGACTGGGGTTGGGGGAGGAATGCAGATTGGGAATGGCTTCATGGAAGGGGGGGGAATCCCCTTGAAGGCAGAAGGGTTTTTTTTTTTTTTGGCTCCAAATGCCTTCAGGGCAGGTTTGGCTGGCTTGAGTTGTGGGGCTTGAACCACAGCAACCTGAGCCTGACTGCTTTGTTGAAGCAGCCACTTAAAGAACTGAGCTAAAGGGCAGGAAGAGCACTCCCCTTGAGCACTGAGAGTGATTCCAAGACCAGTGATGCTGGAATCAGAAACCACTGAGGACTGAAAGTTGTTTCTAAATCCCTTTGAGAGCTAAGCCTGATTGTGCTGACTGCAGTAAGGCCATCATGGCTCCTCAGTGGCAGGAGCAGGTTGCAACCCCGACGTGGCCAGGGTGCTGCATAGACAGTTGTGGGCACTGTGCTTTCCTCCTCACAACCAGAGCTGTGCAGCCCAGCCTGAGGGTTCTGGCGCGGGATCTTGGTGTGCACATGCAGTCCGCAGGCACTCCAGTGGGAGCTGGGAGCAGGGGCGGTGACATGAGCAGGTGCAGGTGAGCAGACACGGCCCTCAGAGAGCAGGCCAGGTACCTGCCTGGCCTGTGTGACACAGTGCTGGTCTTGTGCTCATAGTCGTGTCTAGGACCTCTACACCTTCACTGGCAATGGCTCAAGATAAGATTCTATCCCTTTTCCTCTCAAAGCAATGGGGCAGACTTACAGCTTTACTTTTGTTACTGCTGAGTCTGAGAACTTGTTCCAGAATCTGAGATCCCAAGTTTGCAACCCATTGCTCCAAACACCCCTGGCTATGTCACCTCAGGCAGGTTACTCTTTCTTTTTTTTCTTTTTTTTCCCGGGACCGGGGATTGAACTCAGGCCCTTGCGCCTGCCTGGGAAGCACTTATTCCACTGAGCCATCTCCCCAGCCCCAGGTTACTCTTTCTGGTCTGTTTCCTCTTCTACAAAACTGGTGAGAACTCCTGAGGCCTCTTGTAGTCCTTGATTTTTTGTCTCAAATGGATTTGAAGAGGAGTCAGTCTTCCTTGCTTCATACTCAAAGTGCTGGCTGCTTGTGGTGCCGCTCACTCCCTGTCAGCCCCATGTTCTGCAGGCAGGTTTAGACCTCGGACAGGACCTCTAGTGTGAGGTTTGCCTGTGGGCCATGTCTTTGCCTGAGGCCTGGTGCTCACCGCCTCACTCCTCCCCTCCCCAGTGGGGGCTGGACCTCATGGAAGCCCTTGTGGATGTGTGGCTACGGACTCACCCAGAGCACTGTTGGCATCGTGGGGCTCGGGCGCATAGGTAAGGCTGTCCCTGTCCCTTGACCCCTATCCTCTCCTACCTGTCTTGGCCCTCCAGGTTTGGATTGAGTCCCTTTTCCCGTGTGCCTCAGTGTGGGACATCCTACTGTGCCTCATTGTGGGACATCTCATCTATTAGACATATCCCTGCTGGTTTTGTCTCATACCAGCAGGGATATGTCTAATAGAAGAGACAGCCTTGTGAAACAGGTAAAGGAATAAATAAAATCAGTTCCTTCAGGACTCACTAAGTGATAAAGCCAGTTGCTAGGAGCCAGAGTTGCTAACGATTTCTGCTCCATAAAAACAGGTGAAGGCCACAGATGCTGTCTGCAGCCCTGAGTTGTGGTTACTATGGGGCAGTTTGTTCTCCCCCCGACTCTGGAGGCACTGACTTATGAAGCCTTCACAGGGGCCGAAAAGTATACAGTGGGCAGTGTTTATCTGCAGCAACAGCAGAGCTATTTTGCTTATGGTGGCTGGTAGTTGGAGAAGTCTAGCAGAAAGGCTCAGGTTCCACAGGCAGTTGCTAGTGGTGCTGTGTCACCTGATAGGGGCGAGACTGAGGGTGGCTAGTATAGATCACCTGCCTGGCCAGCCAGCGGTCTTGCTTTGCTCACTGGAGAGTTGCTTGGAAGAGCCCAACAATTTTGGGCCATATTCTGAGTCTGAAGATCCAACTGCCCATTCCTATTGTAGTACATCTCATATGAAAGTGTTGTATAGGTCTAGGGCAAGTTGGCAGTTGACATTGCCATCAAAAAGTCAAAAGAAGATGCCAGGGAGATGGCTCAGTGGAATAAGCGCTTCCCTGGCAAGCGCAAGGGCTTGAGTTCAATCCCCGGTTCTGCAAAAAAAAAAAAAAAGTCAAAAGAGGTTCCAGTGACATAGCTCAGCGGCACAGTCACCTATGTGGCAAGTGCGAGG